TCTATCTCTTATGGATAAATAAATAAAATCTTAAAAAAATATATATATCATAGAGATCTTTCCACATGAGGAAATTAAGATCTGCCTCAACTGTTATATAATATTACATGTTACAGATGCACTACAACTTATTTAAAATTGCTTCTGTTTTGGTTATTTGCCAGTATAAATTATGTTGCTATTAACATATATACATACATATGAATATATATATGTTTATATATAACATATATATAAACATAACAATATATATAAACATTTATATATAACTATATATATAACATATTTAAATACATAAACAGAAATATATATGTAAAACATATATGTATGTATATATAAATAAAAAAATAAAAGCAAAATTCACTATCTTCCTAAGTAAGCCACATAAAAGCTTGAAAAAGTTGCCAAGGCGCATTAGGAGAGGTGCAAACTCGATTTCAAGCCGTTCACTTATCCTTTTGGTCACAGACTCACCAAGACGATATCCTGGTAAAATAGAGATAAGGCAGAAAGGGAATTAATGATAAATTCACCTGCCAGCCAGCCCCTCCATCTTTTCACATCCCTTTCTTTTGAAGATCTTTCTCTCTCCATCTTCCAAAAGGAGGCGGTTGTTACCTCCGGTGTTCTATTTTAGTTTATCATATTTTAGTTTTTAAAGCTCACGTTTTCTTCATGTTCCCCTTGCATTTCCCTCCCAGTCTGTACCTGGAAGGAAGAAGCACACTGGGTTGATTTGCCAAGCTCTTCTGAATTTCACAGTCTGGATCCAAAGCTCTAAAGTGGGAGGATTAGAAGCCTTGCTTACTGAATTTCAAGCACCCGGTTCTCAGGGTAAAGGACACGTTTCATTCGTTTCTGAATAATCCTACTATTCACAAAAGCCGGTGTCTACAGGGAAAAAACAGGCCATGACTGCAAACCTAAAGGTAAAGGCAGACAACCGCCAGACGGGGGCAGGAAAGTGGGGGAGGAACTTTCGTAAATACTGCAAGCCTCCTGGGGCCAAGTGAGCTTTGCCTCAAGCGGCAGATAAAGGGAATTTGTTAAATAAAGAAGCCAGTTGGGGCAGACAAAAGCTTCAGGCACAGGAAGTTAGTTCCACTAAGGATGCTGAAAGGTAGGCATTTGAATAAGTTCCTCTGTGTGAGGTTGAAGTGAAATCCGATTGAAAAAGACGAAGCGGCTGGTGGCCAGTCTCTCCTTAAAAGATTCTTGGGGGGCGCCTGGGTGGCTCAGTGGTTAAGCGTCTGCCTTCGGCTTAGGTC